TTCCTTTCTAATGAGGCAAGGGAGATTTCTGTTGATTATTTGATCATTTTCCATATTTTTCTTTTATAATAATAGTATCATGCATAAAATTTGGTAGCCTCCATGTTTTCTATACCATCACAAATATTTTTCCATGCCAATTAACATTTTTAAAAACTATAGACTGAAAAATATCATATTGATCTACCATAATTGATTTAACCATTCCCCAATTAATGAGATTTCACTTGTTTATTTTTCATCAAAATAAAAACATTTGAGATGAGTATTTTTGTATCTTAAAAAATACATTTTATACTTATATAAAAATATATCAGGTATATATTTTATAGATGATCTTTATCTTACTTCCATAAAAGGAATTAGAATTGCCTCATAGAGATTTCTTCCTGTTTCTTATTTATCAGACTTCTACCTTTCCTAGGGACTTTACCTGGCAAAGTATACAATGCCAAGTTTTAATAAATGCTGACTATTCAACATTCTAGACATTTATAAATGCCCAGAAAAACAATGGATGATACAAAGAAAGAATTGAGGATCCCTAACTTCTATCTTCATCCGGGCTGCATTTTTATGCCTTTTTGCGTAAGCCCCAAGGATTTGGGGGCTTACTTCCCTTCTGAAAATGAGATCATTTCCTAGCATTGAATAGCTGTTCTTGCTATGGTACTGGAACTGGAAAGAAGTTGGTCCAAATAGGAAGACCCCCTGCTCACTTAGTGTTACCTGAGAATGCAAGGACCCCCTTTTTTGCCTGGTGATGTCAACATCACTCCCTAACAATGTGCCCCAAATTCCCAGTTAACCAACTTTGGGAGAATTAAGGCCTTAACATTTCATTTTTGTTTTGTTTTGTTTTTTCTGTATTAAGAATTAGACCCAGAGGTGCTATATCACTGGGCTACATCTCAAGCCCTTTTTTACTTTTAATTCTGAGACGGGGTTTTTCTAAATTGCCCAGATTGGCCTTGAACTTATGATCCTCCTGCCCCAGCCTCCTGAGTAGCTAAGATTATAGACATGCACCACTATGGCTGGCTTTAAATTCTCATCTTTTCTTTGTTAAGTAATATTGGGAGTATTCACACATTTACTTGTCACAGTTCTGTATAGTGCAGTACCAGCAAATGATTAGCCAGATGGTTCACATTGCAAGGCACTGAAGGAATGGAAGAACACAGGGAAGCATCTTTAAGCCTGACTTCCTCACCTAATAAGCTCTGAGGATCTAGAGAAAGGAGTACTGAGAGCACAAGACCTATCTGGGAGGAAAGTCAGGCCCCGAGCCACTGTGGAGGGTCTGGGGCACTCTGAGGACAACACAGGGGCGATCAAGTAGCCAGGGAACCAGGTGAGAACAGTAAAATCCACATAGGGCAGACTTTTGCCTAATATATAGTTAATAACTTTGCCTTGGCTTCTGTGTATACAGTGCCAAACAAAAGAGGAATAGTACTTGGGTCATCCTAAAATATGCATCCTAATGTTATGAATGGAGTAGAAAAGAGAAAAGCCTTCTCAGGAAGTAAAAATACTTCCATTTTTACTAATAGTTTTCTCCATTCACAAATCTGTAATACTAATTTAAAGGAAAAAAATAAACTTGAAAAACATTAATATGCATAGATGTTAAATTAGTTGGGAAAAGTATCTTCAAATTGTCACTTAATTTTTAATGAAAAACTGAAGCAACCTAAATGCTCACAGATGATGAGTAATCAAGTAAATTCTGCCACATACAGTGGTATTCAAATCATAAAAATAAGGTTGTACATCATATTTGTTGTTATAAAGAAAGCCATGAAATATTGTTGAGAGTCAAAACAGATTACAAAACTGAAGGCACCATTTGATCTGTTTATGAAAAGCTATTTCCATATTAATATATGTGCAACCAGACACAGCTAGCACACAACTGTAATCTGAGCTATATGGGAGCCTGAAGCAAGAGATTTGCAAGTCCAAGACCAGCCTGGGCAACTTAGCAAGACCCTGTCTCAAAAATAGAAAAGAGAAGAGTGCCCCTGGGTTCTGTCCCTCATACCAAAGGTATGAATGCATGCACGCACATACACACTCACCACACATACAGATGATTGTAGGAATATTCCCAAATAGACTGTTGACAATGATTATCTTCAAAATACATAATTAATTTGTATTTTGTAATTGTAAAATCTGTTTCTTCTCTAAAAGCAATAATGCATTTCCTCCCTCCAAAAAGAAAAGCCTAGCTAAATCCTTTTTATTTCAAGTGCTTCCATTCTGATAATCTAAATAAATGTGGTTTACTAAAAAGGATTGTAGAGTAAAATCCATACCCATGATAGAACAAAATTCAAGCTGGAGGACATCCATGACTGTAAAACCAGGAGACAAATGGAAGCAGCAATTCTGATGCAGGAAAAGAGCAACCTGGATTTTGACATCCTGTACAGAATCTTAAATCTTAGACTAAAAAAGCATCAACTGGTACATTTTCTTGCCCTTGAGCACTGATCATGTTATCTTTCATTTTTAACTTAAACCATAAAATTGTATTAGCTATGCTACAAATTAAGCTAAGCTGTCTTCTATCCAATCACTTCTATTCTGTCCTTTGGAGGGTGCTTCTGTCCTCTTTGAGTTGAAAGTGAAGGAATTGTATCATGCCTTTTACTTACAAAATATTTTAAAAGATAACATCTCCAAGAAAATAGTGTTTTTCATTGAAAAATATTTTCCAAAGATCTAAACTTGAAAGACAACAAAAATTAAATATTTGGTGTATAAAGGGAGGGTGAAAAGGAAGAATTTCAAACCCAGCAAACTAGGAACAATTCCTTTAAGAAACTTCCACTTAAAGGACCCTGGCACATATAGCTCAGAACCTTGTCCTAAATGAGGTGATGAGAGATTTACAGTACCTGCTTTGTAAAACCAGATTCAGTCCTGTTACTGCCCACTCTGGAATCCAGGTGTCTAACTGCTCAGCTAATGCCTGCTCCTCTACATCATCCACTCTTGACAAAAAAGCTGAGCTCTATAAATTAAATGGCATGATTAAACAATACATATACAAATCTGAATACCTACAATATTTCCACAGAATTACCAAAAATAAGAGCTTATTTTAATTGGTAGTGAAAGACATATAAACAAACTATTTGAGTAAATCCCTTGAATTCAATAAATCAATACGACAGAATTACACCAACAGTTACTTAGGTATCTACTATGGTCTGAAGGAACTGAAGACCCCATTGAATAGTTTGTAAGCATGGAAGAGTTACATTGCCAAATAAACAGCACACCTGATAATTTCTCCAAGGGCCAAGAAAAAGAAGCATCACTTTGGGCTTTACATATAAAGAAGCTTAATGGAATATTCATACTTACTTAGAAACAAAAATCCAAAAGATCAGTAGGGAATTTTGTCTTAATAATATAGTATACTAAATAGTATGCTGTTTTTGTGTCTGAAGCTTTTTTCTATAAGGTTGTAAGGTGAATCTGAAGAATAAAAAAAAAAAAAAGAGAGAGATTATATTTAACAGTGGTCTTCATAAAGAATATTTTGTATGATTCTAATTATTTGAATAATGTTATATGTGCACACTTGTATATAGTCAGCATTCCAAAGTCTCCAATGAGAATATCCACATCATCCCAGTTCTACTCACATAACCACTGAAACAGATCAATTCTTTTTTAATTATTTTAGTTGCAGGGATTGAATCCAGGACCTAGCACATGCCAGGCACATGTCTGCCACTGAGCTACATACCCAACCCCAAAAGATTGGAATTTTTAAATGTTGACATCCTATAAAATGTAAAGAATTCACTAACTTTGTAAATAATATAAATTGCTTACAAAAATTTTATTTGGAAATGCAGCGTTGACATTTTTTGGCAATCCAATTCAGTTAGAATAACCATCACAGTCTCAGAGAAGCAGAACCAAATTTTAATTTGAACTAAAAATTTATACTTTATTATATTGGTAATGCCTCTTCTTTCCCTTTTTCCTTTTCTTAATTGGTCATTTTTAGTTATACATGACAGTAGAATCCATTTGGACATAATTATACAAGCATGTAGTATATCTTATTTTAATTAGGATCCCATTCTTATGGAAGTACATGATGGGGGGATTCACTGTGCTATATTTATATATGTATATAGTTTTTCCTATCACCCTTCCCTTCCCCTCATTCCCCTTTGTCTAAACTACTGAACTTCTGTTCTTGCTCTCCCCCCTCCTTTATTGTGGGTAAACTTCCACATATCAAGAAAACATTCGACCTTTGTTTTTTGGGGATTTGCCTTATTTCTACTAGCATGGTATTCTCCAGATCCATGCATTAACTGGCAAATGTCATAAAGTCATTCTTAATGCCTAAGTAATATCCATTGTGTATATATGCCATATTCATCTGTTGAAAGGCACCTAGATTGGCTCCATAACTTAGCTACTTTGAATTGAGTTACTATAAACACTGATGTGACTGCTTCACTATAGTATGCTGACTTTAAATCCTTTGGATATATACCAAGGAGTGGGATAGCTGGGTCAAATGGTGCTTTCATTCCTCCGTTTTTTGCAGAATCTTTATACTGCTTTCCAGAGTGGTTGCACCAATTTTCAGTTCCTCCAGCAATGTATGAGTGTACCTTTTCTCCACATCCTCACCAGCATTTGTTACTTATATTCTTCATAATTGCCATTATGACTGGAATGAGATGAAATCTCAGTGTAGTTTTAATTTGCATTTCCCTAATTTCTGGAGAGGTTGTCTTCTTTATCCTGAAAGCTAAGACCTCTGCAGGCAGAGCTTGCTGCCATGTCCCCAACTCCTGAAATAGGACCTCTAGGACATAGCATGTGAACAGAAAATGTTTGTTGACTGAATAGACTGATATCTCCTACTCTTTAAATTCTTTTTTTTTTTTCACTTTTAGATCCACTTTTATTTTCTCTTTTCCTCCTCACATACAGAACTTCTCCACACACATTAAAATATGGAATGCTTCACAAATTTGTGTGTCATCCTTACACAGGGGTCATGCTAATCTTCTCTGTATCATTCCAATTTTAGTAAATGTGCTGCCAAGCAAGTATCTCTCTGAATTCTTATAACCTAACAGCCTTTGTTTTATTTATGCTGCATTCCATCTTATATTCTTCCTGCATATTACATAAGCAAGTATAAAACATTATTTGTGGACTTTAGAAACTTTCATAACTTTGTTGATATTAATCTCTCAAATCATGTTAGATAGTTACACCAGCTAGCAATTACATTTGAAGTATTCATGAAATAAGGAATCATAATATGTTAAATATATGTGGGAAGAAAGTACTTATTTAGAAAGTACTTTCATTACGGGTGTGAAAGCTATATTAATGGGATGCTTTCTGGGATAGAATCAGATTATTAACAAAATGTGGTGCATTAGTTTGCCGGGGCTGCCATAACGAAGACTGGGGAGCTTGAGCCACAGAAATTGATTTCCTCACAGTTCTGGAGCCTAGACGTCCAAGGTGAAGCTCTCATCAAGGTTGGTTTCTTCTGAGGGCCTTTCTCCCTGCTTGAGAATTGTCATTATCTTCTTGTATCTTCACACGATCTTCCCTTTATGTCTGTCAGTGCCCTAATCTGTTCTTATGAGGACACCAGTCATACTGGATTAGGGCCTAAAAATATAACCTTATTTTACTTTAATTGCCTCTTTAAAGATCCTGTCTCCTAATATGATCATTTTCTGATACACTCAACATATGAATGGGGTACAATTCATCCCATTATATGGGAATAGAGAAAAGATTATAGTACAGTATGTAAAATATGTTTTTGCTAATGTTACCAAGTTTTAAAACACTAGATTACCTTGGCAAGCTAGACTTGTGATGTTAATCAAATTTTATTAGCAGCCAGTATCATAGTTGGAGGGAGAGAGGAAATAGAGATCAAATCCTACTGAAACATCAAGATGCCATTTCCCTAAAACCTAGGATTCACCTCATAATCAGTTACAGAAGGATTAGGTGATTGGCCCTGTTTTCAGAAATGAGCCTAGGTTTGAAAGCACAAGTTTTCTTTATTAATATTTAATAAATTCTTACTTCTAAATGTTGATCCTGGCCCAGGTGTTTTGTTTTGTTGAGATGGTCTCATTATGTTACCCAGGATGGTCTTCGACTTCTGGGTTCAAGCAATCCTTCTGCTTCATTCTCTGGAGTATCTGGAACTATAGGCAGCGCTGCCATATCTCGTTGATTCTTGCACATTATAATCTAAAATATCTTCTCCCAATACCTTAGTCATTGAATTCTTGCCTATAAGAATGCTTTATTAACACATCCTAGTATTCAGTTGTGATTGTAGTAATCTGTCTTGCTACTTTTCTGCTTCATGCCTCATTACATTCACTATTGCCTTTAAAACAAACAAAAAACTAATACAATTTCACAGCCATCCAAAAGAAGCCCAGAATAGTAAAATTTTTTGGACAAGATATCTGTTATACCAATTAGTTCAATATCAGGCCTATTTGCTTTATAACCTTAGATTTGTGAAATTCTGCCCCTCCACAGATAATTCACCCCTTCAAACATGCCCACTTCATTTAATTCTAAAAAGAAACAAAGATGACCCTCCTTTGACTTGACTCTGCAGCCCCTTTCCATATCCTGTTCCTTTCCTGTCACCCCCAAGCCTCACAGAGAATCTCCATCACCTTCATCCCTCCCCCACCTACTTCATACTGACCTCTACCCTCATGGTCTACTGATCTTTAAGTCACTTCCTCAAAGCGCCCAAGTGATAGCCTCCTGACCTAATCTAAGAGGACCCTCATTTCTTCTACCTCTCTCTCAATTTTTTTTCTGTTGTCACACTAGGGATTGAAACCAGGGGCACTCTACTACTGAGCCACATCCCCAAACCTTTTTATTTTTTGAGACAGGGTTTTGCTAAATTACTAAAACTGACCTCAAACTTGTAATCCTCTTACCTCACCCATTTTAGTCACTGGGATTACAGACATGTGTCACCATGCCTGGGTCAGAAGGCCACTGTTTCTTGAAATACTTATGTTTCTAATTTTCTTGTAATCATTCAAACCAATCATCCCTATTGTCTTTGTGCCCACTTTCTGTTATTTTGGGCCCGGAGAATGAGCATTACCATCACTTTGGAGATGTATCTTTTCTTTCTGCGTGGTTGATTCTCAAAACTTTTTCTGCAGCCTTGATCTCTCACAAATACTCCAATGTCTGTTTGTCCAAATATTTACAGAATTTCTACTTTTTGCCCCAAGCTCAGTGTATGTAAAACAAAATGCATCTTTCTCCACTTGTCTCCCAAATTTTCCCTGCTCCATCAGAGACATTACTATTTTCAGGACTGGTAGGGAAAAGAACTCTCAGATCATGTTCAACCTCCCCTCTCATTTACTATCCTCATTCAAGCTGTCACAGAGACCTGTCAATATTTTCTTTAAGGAGTCCTACATATTTCATGGTTTCCTCTCTTTGTTCTCTTTGTCACCCCACTTGGGGCCTTTATCAACCTACATCTGCACCTCTCCTACTTCCTTTTACCTGGCTGTCTTCCTTCAAGCTGAAATTTGCCCTTCCAATCTGCCACTCCCCCAGTATCCTCCAGCCAGACTAAATTTGGTAAGAGGATATTTCCTCACATTATGCACTCCCAAGTTCAGGGGTTAGTACCAGCTTCCTGTTGTCACCAGATCAGGTCCCAACAACTTAACTTGGCTTGTGGCATCCTTACTAAGCAGAACCCCCTACCCTCATAGCAATCCCAGTTTATCTCTGACTCCCAATAGCTGGCTCTGTTCCCATTAGCATATCAGCTTGTTTATTCCCTGCCCTCCACTCCTCTCAGTCTCCATCTCTGCCCAGATTTTAATACCCTACATGTTCTTTTGCCTGCTCTGCCATTCAAACCTGTGCTCCCTTCTCAGCTTCCATTTGTTAGTGCTTTGACCTTAGACAAACTACCCGCTCTGGAACCTCAGTTTCTTCCTATGTAAAATGGAAAGTTTAACACCTACTTCTAGGATCATTGAAAGAATTAAATGGTACAGTATATGGAAAGCTGATTTAGCCTACCCCTCTCCCCTGCCATGCCCTAAGTACCTACCCACAATTGTAACTCCCCTTAGGATTAGCAAAACATGATCAGGAGAATGAATGTCATACAGTAAACACAAAATTGGGTGAGTAATAGGAGTAATAAATGCTTAATATATGTTGATTTAACAACCTATAAGCCCTAACATTATTTCCCTCCTCTATTTACATTGCCTGACTACTCACATACTGAAAAACTTCATACTTCTTAAATTGCACAACACTCTTTTTTGTAATTCTTTCACATGTGTTGTTCCATCTCTACTTTGCAAAGACTTTGAGGATAAGAATAGTGATATTCCTGTAACCAACATTTGGTGATTGTGGACTATGGAGCATCACTTTACATGTATAAACTCATGTAACCTTCACAGTAACTTCACAATAACTTGATGAAATGTGCTTACCATTGTTATCCTTGGGCATAGAGAACCAGGATGCTAGCAGGTTACCCAAGGGCACAATGTTAGTGAGCAGTAGATCTGAGACCCAGCAGGCTGGCGCAACAGCTTTTGTACAACAGTTGACAACTTCCCAGGGCATGGGGTCACACACACTCAGGTAAGTATGAGTGCACTCATTCATTGATTCACTAGCTGGTACAAACTTCTCAAAGCTAAAAGTTCTCTTGTAGCAGAAACTTGCACTCCCAGGTGTGGTGTTTTAAGGCTATTTGAGAGAGCATTACTGTTGCCCTCCTGGAACCCTGAAAATTAAACTTCCTTTAAAAAGCATTTAAAAAAAAAAAAAAGAACCAGAAGTACACACAAAAGCCAGGATTACTACTAAGCAAATGCTTTTGGTACTGAAGGTTATTTTATCATATAAAAAGTGAATGAAAGAAGAAAAGGGAAAAGGGAGAGAGAAGGGGCATATGAGAGAAATAATGAGAACGATGTACAGAAAAAAAAGGAACACCAGGGAGGCCTCCACTATGATGGGCACCTTTTTCCAAATGACAAGAGCCTTTATTTACGTATTAGTTTGCACTTACTCCTTTTGATTCCCTAAGCAGAGGTGCAGTTTTGATTTGAGAAACTGGAATGTATTGAAAGCTAGGGAAGATACTAGTGGAAACCCAAGACAGAGGCCAGTGGAACTAACATTCATCAGGGCGGCTGCTCCTAAACTGAAACAATCCTGCAAGATTGAAACATTGCAAGAGGAAGCAAGATACTTTCTGCTGACTTTTGCACTGTGCCAGATGACAAATTCAAGGTGGCATGTAAAATGTTAAAGTGCAAAACTACACAGGATGTTTTATAACACTAGAAACTAACTTTGAAAAATATGAGTGGATACCCTTCACTTTGTATCAACCACTTTAATGAGAAATGAAACAAACTAAGTGATATCAGGCATATTTGTAAAAGGTGATAGAAGTGCCAGACCGGCACTGTGGTTCCAAGAGACCTTACTTGCAAGGATTGTGTATCAAGAACCAGATCCCAGTCAGGGAAGTTTTCACACTGTCATCAGCATGAAGGGTACCAAATAAACATCTACAAATAGACCTCTAGAAGTGTCCACAAATTCTAATCATCAATATTCAAAGATAGGCAGACAGTATGACTATTCTTTATTTCTTGCAGGGAATAAAAAAAAATGAGGATTAGAAAAATGAAGCCATGACAACAAACCATAGGCAGTCCAAACCTTGCTTAATCTTTGCCTTATTTAACTGGGCAAAAAAGCAGTTATGTGCCACCAGATGCTGCTGCAACATCAGTGGGTTACAGTGAACACACTATTAACTCATGCCATTGGAATAAACAACAAATGTGCATATTTTTCTAAAACCAAATTGTTTGCATCTGTTACATATTTCATAGTCCTCTTCCCTCAAGCCTGTCTGAAAACTGATCTGATGCAATGAAATGCTACACATTTCAAAGGGTGGATTTTTACAATACACACTCGATACACGATACAGCAGGGGAGAATTAGAGCATCAACTTAGGAAA